ATTTCTGGAGTCATTTCAAGATGAAGCCCCACTACTGCATATTAACCCTAATTTGAAACTTTAGAAAATTTTCATCCCAATTACTTGAATCTTAAGAGTACTCAAACATAAAAATATTCACCAAGTATTCCAAAATATGTAACAAAACGTTATTTGCCTATTGAATCATTTTGTTCATCATATTTGTGATTAGTGGGCTGCATAAACTGATGTTAGTCACAAAGTTAGTTATAAAATATTTTTCAACTTCTTCTCAGTCTTGTTTGACTTTAGAAAAAAAACATAAATGTAACGATTAACTAAGTTGACTTCAATAAGAAAATAACTGTTTTGCCATTTGTGATGGCTTTCATTTCACATGAGAATCCAGTTGCAATCGAATGCAGCATCTCTTATAATGCACTTTTAATGTATAGCTTGATATTATCGTATGTTACAATCAGAAGCACAAATTTATACTTGAAATTCGAGGAATATTTAAAATTACGCTTGCGAATGCATCGCAAAAGGGATACAACAAAATTAATTCGACGCACAATCGAAAAAAATAATTCTATAGCAACAACACAAAAAAGATAGAAAAACCATTTATAGACATAAGATGCATTCTAGAACACTAGACTCATCCGACCATCAGTGCCATAGTTTCAGAATTTTCTTAAGCACGGGACGGTATTTAACTCAACTTAAGTGCAGTGCACCATGGTTAATGTATTATACGTATGATAAGTGTATTACACTAGATGTGTGGTGGAAACTTTATCATTCATTACTTTGAAAAATCATTGATGATGATTAAATAACAGAATAAATAATACCCCAAGCTTTTTAATGCAGTAACCCAGTAGGCAGCGAGTTGATTACACAGTAAATAAAAAAATTATTTTTTAATTAAATGAACGATAATCTGAATATTTGTATAACTTTTTTTCTGTACTCTCTTGAATTTTCATCAGAAATATGACAATAATTATTACAGATTTGTATGTCTAGCGTACCTAAATGTAAATGATCCGAGTTATCTGTTATAAATATGCGTATTAAAGTACAAAATAATTGATAAATGCTTTTCTTGAAAACAACTACTTTAATGATTTTTAATTTTCGTCACTATAATGGATCTACTATTTATGAGTTTGAAAGTCTTATCTCAGACTTGTAATCAGCAATCCTAAAAACTATAAAATTATACTATAAGTGCTAAAAATTTTTTGTTTGTTTACATAGTTAGGATACAATTAATGAAAAATGTTTTAACTTTGTTTTGCACAAAGTGGGATTAGAAGGAAAATCTCCCAAAATCCATTTTTAACGTAAGATTATGTGTATAATTCAATAGTGTTTATCAAAATTCGGAATTTCTAAAACTTAAAAAGTGTTCGTCACAATATTGGATTTACCATTTTTAATGTTTTAAGATCTACCATCGAATTCATAATCAGCGACCTTAAAAACCCTACAGTGTATAATAATTTTTTATTACACAATTTTTAATACCATGACACAGCAGTTAAACCGGAGATTTTTACGTTTGGGCCTTATTTCAGGCTTGTTTCAAATCAGCACCCACCATGAACTAAATATAAAATAAATATAGAAAAAAGTAATATATAAAAAAAAAATTGACCATTACATACTGTAAAAACATTGTGATTTTAACTCTTAATCCTTAAAATAAGAGTGAAAACTACTTTCTTCAATTTTAATAATATTTTTATCGTATGTTATAAAAGAAGTATTAAGAAAATACTATTTTAAAAAATTTTGTTCAATTGCACCAATTCACCAAAAAAATCGCAATTTTAAAGTCTCAATAAAAATCTGAAATTTATGACCATCTTACAGGTTTACCGTTCAGGTCAAAAAATCTAAGAAACATTGTTTAACGTTCCCTTTACAAGTACTATCAAACCCCATATGTTTAAAAAAAAAGTTTTTTGTCAAAAACAGTAATTTTTTATTTTGTTTGTCAAAGTTCATGAATTTCTTAATGACTTGAGACAATTATACTTTCAAATAAAAAGTGGAAGAAATTTTAAGATTTTTTAAAGCTGTCCTTATGGGTAGTCCATTGAGTTAAAAAAAAAGTTTTTTGTTCAAAACAGTAATTTTTTATTTTGTTTGTCAAAGTTCATGAATTTCTTAATGACTTGAGACAATTATACTTTCAAATAAAATAACCATTCAACATTTGGGTAGCTGTGTCTAGAGCCAGATAATAAAAGATTCTTCGAAAAGTGTTTACGGGAGTGGTAAGATCTGTGTGATCAAGTTTTTTTTAAAGAATGCATAAAAAATAAATTGTGTCGAGTCGAAAAATACACAACTTTTGTCCAAAACACTTTTCCGCGAATCCTAAATGTTATAAATTATTTAGGGGAAAGTAGTTTTATCTACTAAAACTGTTTATAACAATTAATTGACCAATAATTANCAAAGAATAAACAAAAAAATTATAGTAATATGTATTATTTTCTGACTGGAATACGCCATAGAAGAAAATTTCAAGTTCAAAAGCCTCTTTAGGCCCAATTCGTCCCTGGTGAGGCTACATAGCCGTGGGGCTAGTTTCTGCTTCACATCACTTAAAGTGATGTGAAAATCTGTGTTTTACATTTTGGTCCATCTAAATAATAGAAAATAAAAATGCAAGCTTCTAAACTAAATGGCATGTGCCTAATGTACGTACATTGTTTAACAGGTGTTAAAGCTTGCATTTTTTTCACTTTTGGCTTTTAACGATGATAGTTCTTTGCTAACCTCAATCTTAACATTTTTCAAACTCTAATCTTAGTGAATTAAAAAACAAGCCATTTTTGTCTTAGTTAATTCATTAATAACTTAATAAGAGAGAAGTTCAGTGACTTGGTATTCTAAGTACGGAAAAATAATAGTAATAATGATTATGATAGTAATAATAATAATAATAAAAATAATTATAATAATAACAATAGTAATAATCATAATAATTAGTGTTATAATAATAATGATAGTAAATAAATACTTATTACACACGAAAAACAATTAACGTATATCAGGCACACTTTAAACATTGCAAAAGTCTGTACACGCCATTTAAAGTCATCTTAATTCAATGCGCCTACTTGATCCATTTTTGCAAAAACTAATTATTTTTTCAGGTCAGAGAAGTAAGGTCTTCCTTTCGTATCTGGTACTTAACACTGAAAAGTCACAACACCAGATTGTAATTAAAGGCAGTACTAAAAAATTTCCCAACGAGGAACCGTTACTTGGAATGAAATATAAAGTGATAACTGCAAATCCATGGAGCCTAATTAAAGAACAGCGTAAACATACCAGGTGCACTTTAAGTAGTGTAGAAATCTGTGTTTCTTATGATGGTCCATCCAATGAATTGAAAATTGTAATGTAGACTTTTAAATTACCTAAAAGGTGCCTCATGTACTATTTTCCAGGTTCAAAAGTTCTTATTTACCGTCTTATACCTGTCTTTTAATAATAGAAGTACCTTGCTGACAAAAGTCTTGACATTTTTTAAGACTACAATTTTGAAAATTTAATTGCTTTTCTTTTATTTTTGCATATCATTGCATTATAAGCCAAGCTGAATTTTTTCAAACAAAATATACTTTTTTATGTATGCCCTAATGTTTATTGGGTTATTATATATCGATGTTTTGGGTTGTATAGTTCAAGCAAAAAAGGTTTATTTGAAGGAAATTCAAATTTGCTGCCAGGTTCTCTTCTTGCGATGTAAGTGCAACGCAACTTGAAGGCCAAGCCAATTCTCCGTTGATCGGCAGTCAACTTAACTGTTAAACTGTTGACAACTCGACTCCAAAAATTTTTTGAAGTAAATAAATAAATTTATCTGCTTCAAGGTGTCAAAAATCCATGACGTTTTTCTAAATGCTTAACTTGAATTTCCAAAAATTAAAAATTATCAGCTTTTTGGCAAGTGACCTACTGTGTAACACACCACTTAATGCTCATTCACATGAGATTTTTTCAGACTGCATATGGTAATATGTCATTTTACTTAATAGCTTCTTAAATTATTTTTTTAACAGACTGAGACTTTTATACGTAATTGTTGTGCAGATTACTTTGTATCAATTTGCAAAAATTATAATTTTGTACTTTAGTTGAATCAATTAATACATAATGATTAAGGAAATTAATTGATATGTTGTTTCATTAATTTCTATGATTAATAAAAATAGTGAGGAAGACAACAAAAAAAATATTTAAGTCATAATAAAAATTACATAGTTAAAAAAGAAAATGTGTACAATATGTTATTAAAAGATTATTAATAGAAATGTACTTCATCAATACAAAATATCAGTATATTATCTGCATGAGATTCATAAACAGAAACTAAGTTCTTAGAAAAACATTAAGATTATTAAAAAAACTGACTTTATCACCTTGAAGAATCTATGGTTAGTATGTAGAATAGTATAATAATACATAAGGGTATCTGCAATCCTTGACACGACAACATAAAGTTCTTTCTTTCAATGCATTAGTTTCAGAATTAAGGAGAATGCCTTACAGTTAAGTATCACTTTAACTAAATACTGATATTATACCAAATCGTACGTTGTAGGGCAGTTGTTACCAATAAGTCACATGATGCTAATTGTAGGTAAAAAAAAATGTCTTAATTACTGGAAAATAAATGGTACAAAAGTACAGTAGCTGTTTAACGATTAATCAACATGAGTAAAGTCTTCGTCTTGCAGCAGGAACCGTAGAAGGTTCCGAGAATTTTTATATTTAGACACGGTACAGCTTAATTATAATGTGGTCATATTCTTGCAACAGTGATTAACCACTATAACCAATACCAAAAAGTTTTTTTATATTATATTTATACTATTATAATTTAGTGCAAATCTAGTAATTTTGAAAAAGTACACTAAGAAAACTGTTTGACAAACAAGTTTTATATTATAACGTTTGCTCATATATTAAAATAGAAATTTAAAATAAGCTAGCAACAGTAGTTATACCTGTGTATCGTTAGCTTATGTAAAGCATCTAAGATTGGTGTCTGGTCAGCAATACAATTACTTGGTCGTGATAATAGAAATAAAATAGTTCTATTAAGGCTATGATAAAGACCTTCCATATCAACCGAACTTGATACTTTCTTTGCTTGACTGATAAGTGTGATAGTGAAATCCAGAACATCATGAGGATTCTTCATCAATGAACCTATAAGTTATTAAAATTATTACAAAACAATCTTTGTTGCACTTAAAAAAAAGTATTCATAAAATATAATGATAAACAAATTAAGAACTAAATACCTCTTAATACTAATATCTAAACATATCTACATACATAGATTTAAAAAAAAAAGCATCGAACGTGTAAGACTCTGTAGGTACGTTTGACAGCTCCACTAAGTACTCACAGTTACAGGAATTAGGAGTCACGGTGAAAATTATTTTTAACAGATAACCATGCATGCAAAGAAGCATATCGACTATTAAAGAATGTTACTTTGCATTTTCTACAACGTAGGTCAAATATAACATTGTTTAAAAGTTGATTTTAAGCAAAAAAATATGGAAATCAAAGTTTTTTCTTACAGAACTCTGAGTCAGGTAATAAGAAATTGTTTTAATAATGCTCATGTTTAGGTATCTCAAAACTCGTTTATTCAAGTCAGGATTAATTCTATTTCAAGTATTATTTATTTTAATAATCGCAAGAAAGCTGTTGAGCTACTGAAACAATTTTATTATAATTTTTACCTCTGAAAAGAAAAATGCTAAAACTTTGCAAATTAAGTATAATTTGTATTGTGTTAGCTTTCATGGATTAAAGAATTTTTTCAAAAACGTGTATTATTTTTCAAGGTATTCTATTTGTGTTTTTATTAATTAGTATTATTTTTACCCGTCAAAATGGTGTCAACAATGTTGCTATGTATTCAAACTGCGTTATTCAACAACAGAACTTAAGAATCAATGAATGCATCGTCACAAAACTTTTGTATTTCAAGTGATGGTTACTTTGTTTGTTCATTATGTCAATATTCCTACCTAAGAAGTTGTTATAACTATCTTTCTATATAACAAGTGTGCCTGTCACCAAGCAATCTAGAATATCAACGTCATTGTTGTTGTTCAAATTAGTTTAACACAAAAAACAAGCATGCCAATGTCGTATAGTGCGTGAGTTACCTATAACCAGTGTGTGGTGGGGGCTATACCTCATGTAAATGAAGAGTTTTGTAAGTTAAATTCTTAATTTTTGCTCGAAAGTAGCATTAATGTGCGTTTACACACACACGCATACACACATATGCACGCGAGCGCGCGCGGAACATTCTACGTCATGTAGAACGCTTAGAAAAAACTATTGATGGAATTCTTTGGAAATCAGTAGTTTCTAATAAAATAATTATGTTTGGTGGATAAATATTGCTATATCGTGAGCCACCTAAAATTTGATAAAATTTTTTAATAATTAAAGGTTGTTTTATCTTTTCTTTATGAGTAAAAGATTTAAGAAAACTTTTCCTAATAAGTGTGACATTTATTTTTACAAGAGCCTTATAAAATCTTCTTTGAGACAAAATTAATTTTATCAAGGTCAAAATGTATCGTTAGAAATGAAGCGACACTAAACGTTAGAATTGTACTATTTAACGCTTCCTCAAGGCAGTTAAGATAACTTACAAAAAATCTCAAGTTATAAAATCATGAAGCATTACCTAAAAAGAGTCAAATTATATAATATCCCCTATGAAATTTTTAAAAATAACGTTTGTATAAAAAAGTCTATTAATTTTTAAAACTCTTAACTGCAGAACTGATTGCATCTTGACATTATAATCGGGTAATAAGTGTAAATAGAGTTATTTAAGAAAAATCGTTTGTCACAAGTTTTTTTATCAAAAATTGTTATAATTTAAACTCTTGTTACAACTCTTGCTAAACGTAAGTCATTAGCAGCTGCTTATAATCTGCGTATGCTAATTTTTATCTAAACAATCTTCAATAGAGACATAACTTCGCACGTAAGTAGTCAACACACAGCAATTTTTAAAAACTTTTATATTGTTAGATAGAGTATTTTAAAAAATTGTACCCTTGAAGTTACAGAGATATATACCATAATTCTATCAACATAAAAAAATTCAGTATAACGTCAAGATACAATTTGACCAAAATTAGAGATGAGTAGAGAGATTGCTAACGCCAATGCTACGAGGTGAGACAATTTTTTGGCACTGACCAGGGCGACCTGCCGCGGCTGACCGTCGAACCAAGGTGCACATTTATCAAAAGTCGGAGATTCGTGTCAAACAGCGTGATCCTACAAGGAGAAGAGAAGATTCGCCTAAAAATGAGCATACAGGCACACATGTTGGAAACATGTGGAAGCGGTATACCGAATGTGTTCCTACGAGGAATAAAGCGGAAATGTCGGCTATATAGCTATATAGCTGAGCGCACAGCCAAAGCAAGTAGAGACAGGAGTCTTTCTCTTTAGACTGCAACTGATTATATGCTTAATATATTTAACTGACTTTTGCTCTCTCGCTCTTGCTTCAATGTTATTAATCAATCTGATTCAATTAAATCGCTGAACTAAATACTCGTTAATTATATTCACAGACTTTTAAATTTAATACAATATTTCTTATTCCTCTAGTACTTTTAACATTCGCAAATTCATTAATTTTCTTAAAAAATATACAGCTTTCACTACTTTTTACAGTTTTCAGTACAGCTTTAACAACTAATTTATTACTTTAACACATCCTTACTGCTGTGAATTGTAGGACAAGCTTCGAAGGATATCTGTAAATATATGTAACTTCGAAACAAGATTCTCTTGTCCTTTGGATAGCTAAGATGGATAAGGCTTATGCCCCTTTGTGGATCGCTTGGCACTTTAGAGTTCAAATTCTTGTCATGGTAGATTTTTTATTTTTTTTTGTTCAATTTAATTTATTGTTTTGTTTGCATTTCTTTTATTAATGTTTCGTTTAAAAGTATAAATGTGACGTCAACATTTTTTTTTTGATACATCAAAATAAATATTGTTACTTTAATACCTCTTGTTAGCATGGCTATTTCATAGTTTTATAATACCAAAATAACTTTTAAGGATTTGAACCTAATTATTGCATTTTAAAACTCATGAAAAATTATGAACATCCTATTAATGACAAAAAAAAGCCGAAGACAAAAAAAAACTCATACTTTTACTACGATTAAACTAAATATGATTATTACCAGTAAAGTACAACTTACATCCAATCATGTGTCATTATTTATCTACATACTTATATTATATTTTTTGGCTAACCCTTACATTTCTTATAAATACCTTGTGGTTACTACATTAACAAAGTTCGTACTCCATACATGTACAAAAATTAAAGCAGACTCTTTAGTCTTGATAAATAGTGCGTATTTTAGATTAAAGAGTCTTACAGAGACTAAATAAAGCTTTTTTATTCAACGCACACTAGTTTCAACCACTTGTTACTCGGAGTATGGATTTAAAAGAAAAAGTTGCATTATGTATAAAATATTTGAATTTCGCAATTAACATTGCCCTCTTAATCCTCGCAATTAGTTAATTAATCTTACAATTTATACCACACATAATGATTTGCGTACCTATAAAAATTTTTTCGTCAGGTTAGTATAATAAAGAGTCTTTTTAGAGTAATAGGCATGAAAGTACCTTTTTAAACTGAATGTAAGAAAGAGCCTTTATTTTTAATTTCTCTGATTTTAAGTTGGTACTACATTTATGTATATAAATACATAAATATATATATAAATATTTACTAGTGGGGCTGACGCCCCCTGCGCACTCTGCGCGCCAACCCCCCACTAACAGATTGTTTAGACAAAATAACAACGTAACTTGTCTAATTATCAATGCAGGCTGGGAATTAGTTCACAATAGTAAAATACGCGACTCACAAAGGAGCTTATAAAAGAGATGATAACATACATCAATATTAATTTTCCAATAAAATTTTTAAACAATATCAGAAAAGGTTCTCCACCACGCAAATTAAAACTAAAAATAAATGCTATAATAATGTTAATAAGAAGTTTAAGTACATCAGACGGTCTCTGTAATGACACAAGATAAAAAATAACAAAATAATTTAAGTATAATATAGAAGCAAAAATAACAACGGGACAAAAAAAAGGAAGCAAAGTTTATATTTCTAGAATAACAATAAGTGCTGGCACCTCAGCAACATTACTTTTAGTCTTATATAGAAAACAGTTTCCCTTCGTACTAGCGTTTTCTATGACTATCAACAAACCACAAGGACAGAGTTTTGATTCCTTAGGATTGTATATTAAAAAACCTTTATTCTTTTACAGACAGTTATAGGTTGCTTCATCGAGATGTAAGGATCCAAAAAGAATTTTTATTCAAATTAAATCCGAGAATAAATCATAAATTAAAAATTAGTTTGTCAGTGGCTCTCGTGATAGCAGATAATTATTATTAAGAAATAATGACTCTCTTGGTGATGCTATCAAAATCATTTATTGCTGTGAACAACGTTTCAGCCCGTACAGTAATAGCGACTATAGGTATCACGATTGATGGTAGATCGAAAAATACGCACTTCTTAAGTTCCGATCGTGCTTATATACTATCGGTCAGTGTAAGTGTGTCACTGTACATAAGTATATTTAAGTCGCACTACGCTACAGCTAACCCACCCCAGTACAAGTCAACCAAATCGCATATTTAAATGACAGAAATCTGGTGCTCTAATTGAGTTTAGTTATAAAATTTTTGTAACATAATTTCAAATTTTGTGTGCCATGCATTCTGTTAATATTAGTTCGGTAACTGCGTTTGTATAGCATCTTTGAGAAAAGTCGCTTGAACCTATTACTTTCAGTGTCAAGAATGTTTACTTCATCAAAATTAAAAGAATGATTCGTTTTAGCAATATAGTCAACCAATGCAGACTTTCCCCTACGATGCTTACAATCATTCATGTGCTCATTTATTCTGGTTTTCAAGCGCCTGGAGGATTGACCTATGTAGCAACTATCGCAATCATTACATACAATTCTGTATACAGCGTTACATCTATCTGTGTGTTTGGTTCGATCTTTGCCTAACCAAATAAATTTCGAGAACTTGTCAATGCATTTAAAAATTACGTTAATATTATTTTTGTACAGATATTTCTTAATTATACA